TTAAATTCGGAATCTAACTTTGTTAAACAATATACATACAAGAAGCGAAAAAAAATTATTATAATTACGAGTATTTGTTAACTGGTCTGTCCTAAAATTTTCGAAATAAAAGGTGAAATAAGATTGCCATAGTCAACAAGGTTCGAGCGAAGTATTTAACGTCCTGAATTAAAAATAAAGTGTAGAATGATTAACCCATAGAAAGTAAACAATTTATGTTATTCATCTTTGTTATTTAAAGTTTGTTATTTGCACACTATGTGGCACTTAATTCCAGTTACTAAAAGCTATTACAAAATAACATCAAGATCAAGCGAATGTTCGTAATCTAGTAAAAAGATATAATCATCGCGGGTCCAAACTAAAGTCAAAGTAATCACAAATGGAGCGCGAGATTGTATCGACGGTCCGGTAGCTTTATGCCTCCATAGAAAAAACACCAAAAAATCGTTGTGGGGTTAATTTTATTACAGTTTTGGCAAAAAAAGTCACACCTCATTTTCTTTGCTTTCTTTCTCGACACCACCTTAAAGAATTGCGCTCACTTTTGTGTTACTTGGCTTGCAGTCCATGGCGCTGTTTTTTGAGTTTAAAAGGATAACTATCACATTGTTTATTAAAAAGAGCTATTTATAGTATAAAAATATCTGTGTGAGAACACAATTAATAATTAGCTCCACTAACCCCCTACTTTCCTCTTACTTCAACATTTATTATCAAAACAGTTATAATTTGTCTGTAGTTTAACCACTCTCATACCGAGATCCCCTTTGCAAAATATAGTTAGTGGAGCTGTTTATAAAAGAAAGCAAAGAATTCGTAATAGTTACAACTACCACACATATTCTGCTTTTGTCCACTTTGTACGAATGATTGTACAAAGTAGACAAAAGCGAAACTTAATGTTAATAAAGTTGATAGGTACCTCACACAATCCTATTTAATAAAGAAAAGTAAACGATGTCCTTACACATGCCACCTCAGTCGGAAGCATGTGTCATTGCCTGTTCCAAGTCTGGGTTATAAAGATATCAGCACTTTTTCCAGAAAGGACAAAGACATGGGTTGTGGTTACACAGTGACTAACAAATGCAATAAAATTATATTATTCGTTACACAGATGAATCATCAAACTAGTTTTCAACTTAGTAAGCTAACGTTCTACCAAAATATGAATCAAAAATTAATAATAATAAAAGAAAAACAAATAAAATATCTGGATTTATCTCACGATATTGTCGATATAGTAGTATCTGCTAGATAGTCGTATCTGCTCACGGATTGATAACCAAGAACCTCGACCAACACCTTAAGAGGCTCACGTTAGACGGTTGGCCCAAGGGTCTGATGTAGAAGGCAGTTCACCTTGACACGGCCCCTATAGTGAGGAAGTTCCTGTCTTTGGAGTCCTAACCAGCGGTGTCTTGATCCCTGTACCCGACGTCGGGGGTCTACTATTTTTTATATTTTTTAATGCATTTTTTTTCTTTTGTAATATATTTAAAAATGTAATCAATGTGTTTTTTTAAATGTAATAAAGAGAATAATAATGTTCTTTTTTTATTGTTATTAACAACATAGGTATATATTTTCAATAACAAAGACCCTACAAAACTGTTCTGACAGTTTGGCTGCAGGAAAGAGTCGGTTTTTCATAAACACAGAACTACTAAGTAACAATGAGTATTTGTTATGTTATATCAATACACTAGTGGGAATTAGCATTAGTCCTATTATGAGAGTGTGCTTCACAAATATACCTTTAGTTTTGTCCTAAATTTGATATTTTTTGGCCGTTTCATATGTATTCCTGATATAGTTGTCTTTAAAAAAACAATCAGACATCTGATACACAACGCATTTTAGTTTCAAACTAAGCAGAGCTTGTGCTATCAAAACTAGATTGACTGATAGAATAGCATACCTATATCCTTTTTTTTGTAAATTAATCCGACCCGGGAATCGAACCAGAGACCTCACCACAGCACTCGCATCGCATACGTTAACACTGACAACCCCGAGGCAATCAAATTTGTTGAATGAAGACTAGAACAAAAAGAAATGAAAAAATACCAATGTGTATTTTTTTTAATTCAACCGAATTGATTTGATATCGTATTTGATGTCTCTTTTTTAATACAGTTCCTAAGTAAAAATATCGCCGTTTATACAATCGGTGCAACAATAAAGTAATATTAATAAAACAAGCATGTTCATTGGTATGTAGGAGTAATAATTGAGGCTTGACTGAATATGTACACTAAGTCGGAAATTGGTAATCTCTTGAAAAATTTAAAGGATAATTTGAATGGACTGAAATAAAAGTATGAATTAGAGGTAGGTATATAAAGTTACCTAATACCTAGGCATACCGCATAATTGTACGAAAATTAAATCCAATTTAACAGAAGCACAGGAAAAGCTAAAAGTCGTTTAATGGTGAGAATAATCTTCAGCCCCTCCCTACATCCAGTAAGCATGAGAAATAACTTGGTTTTTCCGGAATGCATGCGTTGGTAATGCAGAAAAGCGGCGCAAGCGCCGGCGCCAGCGCACCCACTTATCGCCAACAACACTACAATGCAATCAGCATATTAAATCACACGCTTCTGTGTAAGGCATAGATCCTATTCAACATAAATAAATCAAACATGTGACAAATGAAAGAACATGTGAAAACAAAGATAACACGCAGAGCACAACATCAAAATAGCTAGCTAGCTTTCATAGTACAAGCTCTGCTTAGTTTGAAACTAGATAACGATGTGTGTCAATGTCCGAAATTATTATTGTTTTTACTTACCTACCTAAACAAAACGTCGCTTATAAATTATCCATCATTTTTTATTCAGTTGTGCACCACATAACAACTTTCAGTTATGTTAAAAAGTGAGACATGATCAATTGCCAGATTGTTGTACTTATTATGTAACTAACGAAAGATATGTAAAATAATAGATTTATTTTAAGAATTATTTGGGATGCTGTCATGACTCTACCTAAAATTTTAGTGAGTTGGGTTGTTCAGTGTTTACATTCACGAAAACAATAAGGCATAAAATTTTATTAGATAGCTTAACTTTTGGCTTAGTCATATTGAAAATAAATTATGTTGCGTCTTAAACAAGTGCCTAACTTAAAAGTGGTTGAGCTTCAGGAAAAATAGGTGAAATGGGTATTAAATTTTTTGAAGCATTTTTTTAAGACTACAAAATGTCCAAGCCTGTAGGCTTTTTTAGTATTTGACTACTTATTTGGTATCATTCTAATTAACTTCAAAGTAAAATAACTTAATTTTGTTAATTAAAGTAAAAATTCTTGCTGCAAGTATAAACATAACAAGTATGTGTATAATTTAAATAGTAAATGAACACCTGTGTCGTACATTACCATGTATATTGCTGCTGCGTATATATTTGTAAACATGCTATAATAATGTAGTCATTTAATTTGTCTCACTGAGTAATCAGTGAAGTCCAATACACAACAATAATAATTCGTGTAATTCGCATACGATTTGGGCCGTTCGGTGAACAGGGCAGCCTACGCATGTCAATGCGTTCGACAAAGCAAAGATCCGATGCGATAAGTGGCACAATACACGGTCGATCACCTGCCCATCGTGACTACACCCGCACTGCATATGCCTATGTATTTACATTATATATATAAATTATACGAATTTTCAATCGTGCTTGACATGAATCCTAACAATAGATACCGTTGTATTAATATTTGATTTAATGTAAATAGAAACTGTGTGGTTTAAGGAGAAGGTTAGGTTGAAAGAAGGATGACGACATCTACAATTATAACAGCTACAGCAGCATCTATCTAAAGATATTATAAGTTATGGCTCATCAAGAGGTGGACCTCAATCAGTCTCAATTTTATATAGTGTATGGTGACCGGGCTCATTTTAGGTTGTTGGCTTATTGCTAAAGTAGTAAAACAAATAACAAATCTTAGTAGCTTAAAGCGCAATCAGGACATTAACTGTACAGACTAAGTAGAATAGGTAGTCGCGCGATTCACGCGAAGAATCAGCACGCGCCAACTCATTTGCGCTGTGAATCATAGCATGAGCTACATGTGGACTATTGATATCCTAATAGTAAAAGAAAAATAAAACAAATTTGTCACAAATCAAGATTGTACGGAAGTATAAGGACTATTGTAAGTCTGGGTACACTGGGTACATGCGAGTATATAATCAGTGGTGTTTGTTAACTCGTCCGTTGAAAAGCTTAATCAAAAAGAAATTCATGTCTATGTCCATCTACCATCCTCCTTACATAGTGATGTGCAAGTATAATATTAATATCAGGTTTTTTTAATACTAATAATATTTTAAAAGATCCCGTACAATAAAGTACCTTGTGCAATAGTAATACATGTGCAATAGAGTTGATTTGTAATCGCCTTTACTTCCAATAAATATTTGAAAGTCACGGTAAAATAATTTGCTATATAAAACTAAAAAAATATTAACATTATTATTTTCATTTTTGTTAACTGCCATACTAAACATTAATTAAAATGACGATAGAAAAGTACTTAGGTAAATATGGTGCGAGATATTATTTTATACGATAAACTTGTCTATCGAATGAACTTTATAAATATTGCTCTGTTATGCGTGTTTAACATATAATTTAACGAATTTTGAAATTAGAATCGAATGGTAATACTTTTACGTCAATCACGCGAATTACACAATAAGTATATTATTTTTTACTTTACACTCGTAATTCATTTTTAGTATATAATATAGTATATAATATGATAGTTTTAGTTTTTGTAAAGTCATATGGTTGAAACGACAATGATGAAAAACTGTTCGTCGTCTAAGGTCATTGGCATTAGTTGTCAATTTACCCATGGAATTAATACGTACACATGATTAAGTGACATAATGTAGGAGTTTATCAATTGCTTAAAAACCGCAACATCCTAAAAAACAAAAAGCTAGCTGAAAATCCTAAAAGATAAAAACTTACCGATAAAGTCTCCTAATCGTGATCCGAGCAATGCACCTGCGCTAGTGACCACCGCACAAGTATTAAAGTGATGACCTTCCTGCAGTGGAGATTTAGGTATTTTATATCCCAGTTTATTAAATGGTTCATCATCTGCCGTTATTGTCCGCACCTTAACACGCTTCAAAGCACACAACACATCTCCTTTTGAATTTTCCTTCCGGTTGCGACTATCATATTTAACATTGTAGGTATTCTGAGCATTCAACCCTGACTTGAACACTTTACTTTCTCCCATTAAGACTCTGTGGAATTCTTTCAACAATAAATCCTTAAATTCTGCCGTACGTTTAGTGCAGTCTGAGGATAATAAGTCATCACAAATATATTTATCGGAGTCAAACTCTAGCAGGGGTGTCTGAATGTTCGGGAACCTGGGACTACCATTGCTCTTTCTCACAATATTGTTGGACGGATTACTATGTGACACAAAAGACTTATTGGACGTTTGTGTTACTATACCGTTACCCCACAATACCGCAATCGCAGATCGCCGGTTTTTGCGTAAAGAATTGACCCTTGAGTTTACATTGTATGAAGTCCCGGACATCAAATTTTCTGGTATGTAAGTTTCCTGATAATTAAGAAAAGGTGCAGACTTTTCAGGTTCAGGAGTCTTGCTAAACAATCTTTGTTTTTCAATGTACATCCAATATTGTGACCATATTAAATACAAATAGCCGCACATTCCAAAGAATAGTAGGTTAATAAACACCCAGACGGACATTGCTGCCGCTTTCATGTTGTTTTTGACACGCGTTGCGTTTGTGTAGAATGATTGAAGAAAACTAGGGACTGCAATGATGTAACGAAGTGTTAAATACAAAAATCACAACCGTAAAGATTCGATCGAGTACTATCAGCTGATAACGTGACAAGTGCGCTTGCGTGAGGTCCTCGCGGCTGCGGGAAAAGCTGTAACGTTCCTTTACGTTATAATTTTGCAGGTTTACTAAGAAACAATATAGATCCAACAAATTTTGATTCTAAGAATTTATATAAAACTGCATTAGAAGCAGCTTCTAAAAGTAAAAGAATTTAAATTACGCCGATGAGTCACAATATATTTCGGTAACTTCCTATCGATTCGATTAAATTATATTCAACTATTACTACTTATTAGCTGCCTAGTTAGGGATTTTACTCTTTACCTACGTAGATACTTTGTAAAAATAATAATTTATCTATTTATGGAATAGATAAGGCTGATAAGGCTGAATAAGAAAAAGAAATAGAGGCAATCCTTCTTGATACGGCACACATAGTGAGGTTTGTCTCTGGAACTCTAACCACGGATAGCTTGGGCCCTGTACCCGATATCAGTGGTGTAATACTTCTTATAATTTTAAAAGTAATTTCAAATGCCAGAATGTATTTAAGCAATTTAAATAAATAATGAGAAAAATAATAAAAACTGGGACACCGCAATCACGGTCGTCTGAGCTTTAACTAGGTAGAAGCTGTACCAACAAAACTGCTGACTCACACATTTATATTTTTTAGGATTCGGTACCTCATAAGGTAAAAAAGGAACCCTTATAAGATCACTTTCTTGTCCGTCTGTCCGTGTGTCACCACCGATTTTCGCAGGAACGGGTAGACCTAGCAAGTTGAATTTATACCAGATACGGTCCCTATTAGGTGTATAAAAATCAAGGTCCTACACGATAAAAAGATATGGGCAAATTTCGATTTTCGCGAAAACTTGTAAGTACCAAAATTTACCTTAATTTTAAACTTTTTACTTTTCAGAATTTTTCTTTACCTTGCTTTTAAACAAAATTGTCAATTCTAGGTCAACTGGAAGTATTTTATAGGTTTTGGGTCAAAAACCTATATGGTAGTTCCCGTTGACCTAAAATCACGAAATTTGGCAAAAAGAAACGTCTTACAGCAGTTATAAAGGAATAATTTCAAAAAATAAAAAGTTAAAAATTAAGATAAATATTGGTACTTACCTACAAATTTTCGCGAAAATCTGAGTAGGTACGAAACCCTCGGCGCACGAGTTCGACTCGTACCTGACCGGTTTTTTATAAGACAACTCCCGCACTAGGAATATATCCTATGTCGCGGGGGACTTCACAAACTTATATGACACGGACACAAAGAATACCCAGACTCAGAACAACAATTTGTAGATCACGCAAAGTGTTGTCCCATGTGGGAATCGAACCCACAAAACTAAGCGTAGTAGAAAGCGGGTTGTGACCACCTAAACCACTACGGCATCCGTACAGTCGAGATATGAGGAAATACATAAACATAGCAGGTAAATTACATCCAGACATCCAATAAATTAATTATAATCATAAATCATCATCACAAATGTTTGACCATTTTTTTCTGTGCTCAAATCCCCTCGGATACCACCGACTATATTGCCTATGTCGGACTCGAACCGACTAAAAACCGCACGCCGTCTCGGTCAGGTGTACCCTAGAAAGGAAATCCCTGGTACCCCGACGTACTTACCTCGGGCCATCTACGGCATGTAGATGACCCCCTCCTGTGTGGGAACCCCCATGTTCCCTTGGTGCTCCAAAACAGGCGCGCGCGCTCAGCAGCGCGTCTCGCCGCCACCCCGACCTGCTTCTGCTAGGGTGACAGACGGCCTCACCTGTCACCCCCTGTCACCTGTACTATGGAGAACGGAGGTCGTTCTGCGACCTCCGGGGCCTGAGCCGCCTGTGGTGTCGGGCTCGTGCACGGGCCTGGCGGGCCGGGAGGGTTCTAAACCTCTCCCGGTCCCGCTCCGCCATTTCCTTTGCAAGTATAACTTGCTTACAGGAGACGGCGGAGTTCCACGCACTCTCGCTCCGTACCGTACCGTAACCACTAGACATTGTCATTTTGTCACTCGTATACTAGTTAGGACTACAGAAAAGTATATAGCGCACATACCCTTCATCCAGAATGAAAGAATTGGCGCGGGCAAAGTTGCAAACAATTTCTATGTAGCGGCAGGACTTTACATTTACACAACGGACACTGAAAACGCCTAGACACAGCACAACCAATTGAACACAATTTTTTTATTACATGTGGGAATCGAACCCTTATCACTCGGCACGATGTAGAGGCAATCTGTGCACTTGTTAATAAAAGTCCAATTTCTTTAAGTGGTTTTTAAATAATTTTTGTTTCATGAAAATTTCGCCTTTAGAAGCGCCTTTAGAAAAGTAGGCGATTATACGACGTTGTGCTAGAAATAATTTTCGTAGGCTTTTAAGATAGGTAATCTGTGAATTTGTAGAATTGTGAAACTGAAAAGTAAAACAAAATAAAAACACATTTTCTTGATAGTACTTTATTAATATATATATTTAATATATTCTATTATATATATATGTATTTATTATACGGCAAAACATTGATTAAAATAGTAAATTCACAACCTGGGGAAACTTAAATAGTAGTTCAGTATGTAAGTAGGAGTAACACATTAATGTTAAATAACATTATAAGCCTACTCTATATTATAGAGTAGGCTTATAATGTTATTTAACGACGTCTTTTTAATTAATGTAAATGTTATGCTGAAAGGCCGAAAACGCTCATAGAGCGAAATTACAGCTCACAACATTGCTTCTATGCGATTTCGCTTTGTGGTCTTTTTGTAATTGCCACAACGCGACGTGTGCGTTTTCATAAGAACCAAACCATGAATTTCAAGATGTGGATTTTTTACAGTGACTACGCGCGCTGTGACTGCGCTCAATAAGCGTTTCGGTCGGTCTGAGCGTAACATAAATATTAAGAGTTCGTTATACACATACTTATATAACTACACTTAATTAATTGGTTCACTTTTGTACTTTGTACAAGATATGACAAATTCCAAAGCTGAGCTGAGACTCACTGTCTAACATTTTTCAACGAATTATTCAAACGTATGAAAGTGAATAAATCATGTAATACCTTTCTTTAAACTAACAATATTAAGTTTTTTGTTACATGCCGTCTAAGTACCCATCTCAACATTTGTACGCACGGCGCACTTAATGACACCACTGTCGCGTCACTGGGGTGATTCGAATAAAACCACCGTATCGCACTATACTGTATATATTTACACAAATATAGAACCAATACATGTACCTTGAAGGGTTTAATTAACAATAAATCTCTGGTCTATTTACGTCGCCGTGTGAACATAACTATATCGCGATTCAGAATTAGTGTGACACGCCATCTATCGATCGATCGACAAACTAAATTATTGTCACATCTAAACATGCCGCCCGCCATGGACAAATTATGAAGTTATACAATCTTAAAATGATAATTTGTCCATAATTACTGTTTAAGTATGGTTATCACACGGCAGTTAAAACACAAAATTAAAAAACAAACAGTTAAACGGAAAATTATTTAACAATATACCAAAGCTAACCAAGCAAAAAAAATTATACTAGCCGGTGCTTCTTACATAGCAAAAATAAACCTTACAAAAAATTATTAACTACTTAACATCTAAACATATTAATCACTGTACGGTGTTAATAGGTAATACACATAATTTTACAACGGGTCTTTTTATTACGGCGTTTTTACACCTTAGGCTCACAACGCGTGTAACCCCGTCCAAACCCGGATGTTTTTGTTCTACGATTCCAAAAAGCCATTGAGCAGGCGGCAGGCCGTCCTCCTTTACCAAGACCATGTCACCAATTGCTGGTTCGGGAACCTGATACGTCCACTTGTACCGATTTAGGAATTGTGCAAGATATTCGTGCGACCATCGTCGCCAGAAATCTTGCACCATTCGCTGAGTCAGCTGTAATCGTTTCAAGCTGGTGATGTTGGAATGTTCATAATTTAAATCTGGTACAACGATCAGGGGCTCCCCTACTAAAAAATGACCAGGAGTAAGGGGGGCTTGATCTTGACAATTGTCACTCACACGAGACATAGGGCGAGAATTTAGGCATGCCTCGATCTGAGCCAACACAGTAGCCATCTCTTCGTAAGTTAGGGTATTGTTTCCAATAACCCGCTTGAGATGGTACTTTGTGGACTTTACACCAGCCTCCCACAGTCCTCCAAAATGAGGAGCGTGTGGAGGAATAAAGTGCCAGTTGGTCCCATTATCCGCTAACCAATCCCCTATCGCATTAGCTACGCTGGATCTTTCGATAGCTACTAACTTCTTCAATTCCTTGGCAGCTCCGACAAAATTAGTGCCATTGTCACTGTACAAGTCTGCGCAGTGACCGCGTCTGGCGACAAAACGCTTAAAAGCAGCCAAAAAACCTTTAGCGCTCAAGTCACTGACCACCTCGAGATGTATAGCTCTGGTAGCCATGCACACAAACAGGCATATATAGCCTTTGTACGCGTGATGTCCTCTACCCTTTGCAGATCTTAGGCTAATAGGGCCGGCGTAATCAACTCCACTTTGGTGGAAGGCACGACTGGGATTGACGCGTGATTTTGGCAATTGGCCCATGAGTTGGTCTCGGACCTTAGCTGCGTGACGAATGCAAGATATACACTTGCGAACAAAAAACTTCGCCTTATTCTTCACATCGAGAATCCAATATCTTGATCTCAAGAAGTTTACCATCACTTGCGGTCCTCCATGTAAGGTTTTTTTATGGGCGTCGGCTATTACGAGCTCAGTGAAGTGTGACTTTGAGGGGAGAATTATCGGATGTTTCATACCTTCTACAAGTGCAGCTCTGTCCAACCTTCCACCGACTCTAAGTATTCCATCGTGATCGATAAATGGATTCAGTG